CCACCCACAACAACTGCTGCTTCAACCACGACAACAGCTGCTCCAACAATGACAACAACTAATCCAAAAACCACAACTGCTGCTCCAACAACGACAACAGCTGCTCCAACAACAACAACATCTGCTCCAATCACAACCGCTGTGACAACAACCACAACTACATCTGCTCCAACAACGACAGCAGCTGCACCAACCACAACAACAGCTGCTGCAACCACAACCAATGCTGCTCCAACCACAACGATTGCAGCACCAACCACAACAACAACTGCTCCAACCACAACAGCGGTGGCACTAACAATAAAAACTGCTGCTCCAACAACGACAGCAGCTGCACCAACCACAACAACTGCTGCTCCAACAGCGGCAAATGCTGCTCCAACCACAGCAACAAGTGCACCAACCACAACAACAGTATCACCAACCACAACAACTGCTGCGCCAACCACCACAATGGTGGCACCAACCACAACAACTCCTGCTCCACCATCGACAACAGGTGCTCTAACAACGGCAGTATCTGCTGTGACCACAGCCACCGCATCTGCAACCACATCAACTGCTGAACCAACAATGACAACAGCTGCTTCAACCACAACCACAGCTGCCCCAACAACAAGCCCAGCTGCTCCAACAACATCAACAGCCTCACCAACCATAACATCAGCTGTTTCTCAGACCACAATACCTGCTTCAACAGCATCATCAACAACAACAACATCTGCTCCAAATAAAAGCACTGCATCAACAACCACAACAACAGCCGCGACAACAACCACTTCCGCAAGAACCACTACAATTTCTTCAACAACTAAATCATCCACGACAACAACAAGTAACGCATCTTCTGTCAGAATGAATGTAATCCCTCTTGTACTGGGACTCTTTGTCTTTATCATCTATTATTAAACAGGAAAATCACAGATGGAAACCCCATGAAAACCACTAAAACTTTGAAAGGATGTTTTTTTTTATTGTCAATGTTTACTTCTGTTCTTCTTGTTTAGTTGGGATTTAAATTTAATTTGTTTCAGATGTAAGAAAAGGGGTCTGGGTAAACCTGAGAATGGATAACTATTTAACACACAATTACCTTTTTCCAATTGAGTTATAAAGTGTAATATATATTTAATATTTACTTACATATATATTTATCTTTTATTAAACTTATCATGCAAATGTCTTGAAGAAATGTAATAGTGTGCAATAATATGAACAGAAATATATATCCATATATCCATAACTAGTTATTTGGAGATTTTTGTTATGCATATATATTGTCAGTTTTATATTACAACAGTGATTCAATGACAGCATTGTAAAACTACAACAACAATTACACCAAAAATGCCAAAAGATAACAACTGTGACTGTGATAAAGTTTTCAACGGACATTATGATGGCTTTTTTGTGTGTTTTGGAACTATCCCATTGATGACAAGTATGGGGAATATAAAAGCTATGACAATATATTTGCTTTGAATAATGTTATGATTATTCTGAATGTCACTTGTTTTCTTGATTTTTCTCAATCATACTGATGGCCACACATGGCCCCAGTTTTATCTTTCATATAATTACATAGTAACTGTATGTTATTTAAGATGAGATACTCTGGTTTCCCCAGAATGTAGACTTTTACTCTCTTCATCTTAATAAAACTATTAATGCATCAATTGTTTTTCTACATGAATTACCGTACCTATAAAATATTTAAAAGTTTCTTCAATGAAATGTTATATTTTATAATACTCATCAGTGTTATTAGAAAATGTAATATTTTGGGGGGCTTTTGTAATTGCCAGTAAATTTTCCTAATGGAAATACAAATTTGGATAATTGAAAAGGAAGAAGGATGTGTTGAAGTATTTTTCTTTTTAAACTAATA